TCCCCAGGAATTACTTTCAGCTAAAAAGAGTTATCTTGCCCAAGGTCCTGCCCCACCCCACACCTCTGCTCTGGTAGCTTGCATCCAATGATTTGTTAATGGGGGGAGGGTATAAAGACCTGGTTCTCTTGCCTCAATTTGAGACAACTGTAAAGGACTATCTCAGTTCCATAGTTCCCCATGGAATTGACTGAGGTTTCTGCTGTGATGACATCACAGGTCAACTTCTTCCTCTTCCCAACCCTGTTTCCTCACTCCAACATAGACTTTGTACCATTGTACGTGGTCTCAATGGAGTTCTCCAGATTCCTGATTTGTAATGCTTGCCAGTTTCCATGGTGTAAATACTCCAGCCATGGCCAATTTCAAGCTACTAATATGATGCTGGAGTTCCTGGCTGATGCAAACAGTTTATGTGCTCAGCTCCGAACCAAAAGTTTGGAGGTTTGAGTCCACCCAGAGACACCTTGGAAGAAAGGCCTGGTGATCTACCTCTGAAAAATCAGCCATTGAAAGCCCTATAAAGCACAGTTCTACTCTGACACACATGGAGTCACTGGCAACTGGTTTTTTGGTTAATATGATGTCATTTAATGCAGATTTGGGAAGAGATGTGCACAATTGGTTCTCATGAGGCAGAGCAAGCCAATTGCAGCCAGCTACCCCTACCAATTTGTTCTAATGAAATTCTTAGATGCAAATCTACACCTCAGTCTTTTTTCTGGGTAGCCCAAACTAAATCAACAAAAAACTGTAAATTATTTTTATACTGTCAGTTTTGATGATTTGTTTATTAAACAATTAACTTTTCACAGGCTGTAGAAGTGAAACTGGTCACCTCAAATGTTTCAGTGAAACATACACGTATCTCTCCTCTCACACACACACACACACACACCCCCCACACACCACCATAAGACAGTGGCCTACTCCAGACTCCGTTTAATTTCCTAAACATTACACAGCTAGGTAGGGTGTTCTAAGAGAATAGACTTCGAATTAGTTGTTCTTACTGTTTTGAGATCGGAAAAATTGCCAAGAAATCACTAGATGAGTTCAAAATACAATTGTTATTTTTGCTATGAATCAAAGTATGTATTTAAGAGAGTCAGAGTTTCATCCTCAGAACTTTGATTTTTAAGTCTGAGTCAGCCACTTATAATATTTGCTATCGCTAAAGAAAATGCATTCCATGTTTGAAAAACTGTTAAGACTTTTACCATACTCTAGAGCTGTTGTTGGAATAAATAAATAATCAGAGATGGAAGGGTTTTCTTCAAGGGTAGGAAGAGAAAAAGAAACAAGACACTTATTCAAAGAAACAAGATGATGAAAGGAAAGAGAACATCTTGAAGGTGACAATGCAGCGTAGAACTGTAGAAGAGAGAATTTTGCCCAAATGAATGGCAAATTATTCTTCAATATTGGGTCCATTTTTCTAGAAAAGGCAGTTGCCTGCTAAATGAGAACAAAATATCCCATTGAAAACAAAAGGTAGGCCATGGAATAATTCATTTTACTTTACCAGTTTAAACACCCTTAAATATCAACAGAGAATCAGAACTAAGTTCTTGTTTTGTTGTTAGACCCAAATGGTCTATCAAGCCAAAAGCTCCAATGATGGTTCTCAAATTTTTGCATGGATTAGAATCACCTGGGAAGGCTGATTAAAATGTAGATTCCTGGACACTACAGCTTTATGATTCAAAGAAGGCCTGGTATAGGGTGCAGGCATCTGCATTTTAACAAGCTTCCTAGGTAAATTCTGAAGCTTGTTGTCTCTGTCAAACCAAAATATGTTGGACAGCAATATGGCAAAATGTCCATGACATCACAGTTCCATGATAAGATTAGGAACGAGTCCATGCCATTTCACCTTTATGGAAACATACCCTCTTTACACATATCTGTCTGGAACCTTTATCTAATACGTCCCTGAAGGTTGTTTTCTAGAGTAATATCTCCCATCACTTTATCAACCAAAAAACAGATTCTCATTTCTCTACCTTTATATACTTGCTTGCTATGTAAAGGGAAGAAAAATCATGTGTGTGTGTGTGTGCGCGCACACGCACGTGCTCAGGTGCACTTGTAGAAGGGTTGGTGTCTTAGTTTCCTGATGCTGCTATAACAGAAATACCGCAAGTCGGTGGCTTTAAAGAACAGAAATTTATTTTCTCATAGTTCAGGAGGCTAGAAGCCTGAATTCAGTATGTGGGTAGAAGGGGAGATCCTTCTTTGTATATTTCAGTTTCTACTAGCTGGCAATCCTTGGAGTTCCTAGGCCTATAGATTCATCTGTTTCCATTGTCATCAGATAGCATCTGTATTTGCCTGTTTGTGCTTGCATCTGTGTCTAATCTGCTCTTTTTATAACTCAGAATTGGTTAGCTTTAAGACACATGCTACCCTGATATGGCCTCATTAATGTAACAAAGAAAACCTTATTTACAAACAGGATTGCAGCCACAGGAATAGGGGTTAAGATGGCAATGCATATATTTGGGGAACACAATTCAATCCATAACAGTTGGGGATGCGTAACTATTACAATTCTGTTAGAAAATTCTTTCCTACCAGATCCAACCAAAGAGACATTTTCAGCTCTGGTATAATCCCTATCGAATCTGGAAATCATGGTGTTATTAACCTAACAGTTTTTTTTTTTTTTTCAACCTAGCAGATTTTTTTCTTATAAAAACTAAAAGTTTTCATCATTCAAAATTATCCTCCTAACCAATGTTATTCTACATGACATATACTGTTATGTTACCAGCCCTATGGGCACTGGGTCCCTTCTCACGGACTGAGGAGGCATTCCACTTGGCTTGCAGTTGTTCTCATAAATGAATATTCAACAGAGACCTTCTGACAGAGATGGCTTTTGCCTTGTACATGAGAATGTGACAAATTGCCCCAGGACTCTTGGATCTTGATGAAAAGGCAGTCATACCCTTTCCCCAGGGAGAAGTTATTAGTTTCCATGATGAATTAGACTCAAGGCACTCCATGAAAGTAATAATCGTGGACATTTCTGCTCATGAAGACACCCCTCTAGGGACTTAAAACCCAAAGGGTACGTGTGTGTGTGCAGATCACAGACAAATCCAGAATGGAATGGGGTGGGGGGGCATTTATTGCTTATTGAACCTTGGTGAAGTCCTAGACTTCCTGTTGCCCTCTTTGCCTCCCGTTCCTTTATAGAACTGAAGGCATCCTAGCATTTTGGACAATTAACGAGGAATAATTTCATTTAAATGCACATAGTCAAGAGAAAAGACCTACAAGTCTTCCTTTTCTTGGCACATTTTTACAACATATATTTTCTTTGCACACTGATGCTGCAACAGTGCATTGAGAAGGGCTGAAATTTTGTTATCAAAATCAGTCATTGGCACCTGTAAAAAGCTGAATTGGCAAGAGTTGTGGTCATTTACAACAATGACCAAAAAAAAAAAAAAAAAAAAGAGTAGCTGCTGAGGTTGCTTATGTACAGCAAAACACCTCATGAGATTTGGTTCCTTGGTTTAGAGGTTTAGGGTCATGGTTTCATGGGACATCCCAGTTAATTGGCCTAATGATGTTTTTAATGCTTCTGTTCTACCTCTTAGTTCATTGCATAGTGCCTTGGGTCTTAAAAGCTTATGAGCAGCCATCCAAGGTACCACAATTGATCTCTATTTACCTGGAGCAACAGAGGAAGAAGGAGGGTCAGGAACAGGAGAAGGAAATGGAGTGTGTGGCTGACTGCCTCCATCAAAAACTGCCCCCTTTACCATGAGACAAGAACTGGATAGTGCCCAGCTATCATTACTGAACATTTTGATTGAAGATTCTATAGAAGAATTCTGATCAAAAGAGGGAAATTGCAGAATTTCAAAATTCTCATGGACTCCAGACTTTCTGGATCCATGGAGGGTGAATGAATCCCTGAAACTATTGCTCTGAGATAATCTTTAAACTTTAAACCAAAAAATCCCCTAAAGTCTTCTTAAAACCAAACAATAGTTTAGCTTAACTAGTAAAGAAAGTCTGCCTTGATCAAACTGACAACAGCAACTTGAAAGATTAGATAGGAAACTTAGGTGGCAGTGGGTTTATGTTGAGAGGAGGAACAACTTGGAAAAAGAGGATGAGAATGGTTGCCCAACTTGAAGAATGTAATCAACGTCACCGAATTGTACATGCAGACATTGTTGAATTAGTGTATGTGGTGCTGTGTATATTCTCAACAATAACAACAAAAATAAATTATTAAAAAAAATCAATCATTGAATGGGGCAACTGCGTTTTCAATGCCTGCTTCCTCTCCTCTCCTGCCAACAGTATGCTTTCCTGCTCTTAAGAATTCATGAGGAACTTTATGATCCACTTTTGCACTGGTGTACCTACCAGGGGTTGTAATTTTCCCATAAAAAGCTTTCCATGCTGATCACCTTTATTCTTTAATGGGCTTTGACCATCAGGGCATATTGTTCCATCCAGCACTGGCACTGCGGGTTGAGTTTCTATCTCAGTGCACAACATGAAAGCTTGGGTCTATCTGTGTCACACAAAGCCAAGCCTTTCTTGAAGTGATTTGTTTACAGTGTCATTTGATGGAGTGGAATGTTCTGTAACTCATTTGAACTGTTACAGAAGCTTTGCAAAAAGGTCACCACTGCTCTTACAGTTTCCAAATCTGGGCACCATCTGGGAGCTTGTTAAAGATAAGGTTTTCCGCTGGCTTTTTGCATACCAACTAGAGCCAATTAGTGAAGAGCTACTTTTCCAGGGAAGTTTGTGCTACATTTAGAGAGGAGTGGGAGATGGAGATGGAGAGGGAGAGCGAGAGCAAGAGAGAGAGAGAGAGAGAGAATGAAGAAAATTACAGTTAGTTGCCCAATAATATGCAAGTCCACTTTGCACCAAATTGGAGTGCCTGGGCTAATGGTCTTGAACCAGGGTGTCAGTCTTAAAAAAGTTGAACACAATTTGCTTTTAAATGTTCTTTATTGGTATTCTTCAAGTGTGGTCTTGGGATTCAGTGCTAAAGGAAATTGAATTCCACCATTTACTCAAAATTAAATAGAAAAATGACAACTCATTCCTGATAGTAATAAAGGTTATGTATGCTCACCATTCACTTTGCATGGCACAGACAGTTGTTTCAAGTTTTTATAACTTGGCAGACTCAAAAGTCTAGGCCTAAAATTGGCTTGTGTTTGCTTTCTGCCCCCTTTCTTATGAAACAAAAGTCTTGAGTTTTCCAAACCTCAAAAGCTCAGCCATAAAACTGTAGGAGACCAGCAAGAGAAAAAGGAATTTTCCTTCAAAGATGTCTCTAGTCTCTGCTGGCCAGTTTTGCTGTCTCCCTTAAAACATCAAGTATGTCTTTTAAAACACTTGTCCTTGGAAAACGTCCAAATGTAGCAAATGGTAGAAGCAACACTTCCTTACCCTCCTGCCTGGAACTTCCCATGACACGGAGGAGTGCTAGCTGGGACTTTCATGAGTGAAACAAGGAAGTCAGCTACTGCCCACCACCCTCACCCATGTTTGCAGATGAAATAAGTAAACGCATAGTGAGATCTACTGAATTAAAAATCAAAACGCTGTCTTTTGGTTGGAACCCCCGAAAGGGCCTGGACCAAAGAGGCTGCACAGTAGCAGCTGAAACACAGACTCGTTGCCATTAAAAATATTCTAAGAAGTATGTGTGTGTATTTCTAGCAGAATACTTGGGAGAGGAGAAACTTAAATCATATTTTCGTCTCTCCAGCCCCAAGTTACAGAGACATTAAAAACACAACAACAATGTCTCTGTCAGTCCAATTAACCTGGTCCGGAAACCAAATTTGTCTTGAGAAAGGGGGAGAAACTCATTTATATTCCTTTTGAGGCAAAGAGGAAGGTCTTTCCTGCAAAATCTTTACGCTCCATTCAGGAATGGGAGACTTAATCGTCAAGTTCACAGCTTGTCTCATTGTAGAGTTCAGGGCGCGGTGACTTCCTGTGCCGGGAATATTTCAGTTGCAAGAGATCACCAAGCTCATCAAGGGCTTCCAAGACCTGCAATGAAGATTGCCCCCGTCAGTTATCTTTAAACTCTGAAGTGGCTCTGCTCTTTAAAGCACAGGTTAATGGCAAGCCCCACGAGGACCCACAGCCTTGCTCTGCTAGTTTCTTTACTTTTAAGGAAAAGGAACACGATCCATACCATTCGGTTATGGTTTATAAGTACTAGAGAAATGATGAATGCCAATTCAGTTTTATTCATTTTCTTCAATGGGTTAACTCCACATTATGAATGTTTATTTTATTTTTTTGGGTATGAGGAGTGGAATCGAAGCATCTGACCAATCTTGGTGTCACAGTGGTTAAGCGCTCAGCTGTTAAGCAAAAGTTTGGCAATTCAAACCCACTAGTAGCTCCGCAGGAGAAAGATTATGTGATCCATAAAGATTACAGCCTTGGAAACCCTATGGGGCAGTTCAACTCTGTCCTATAGGGTTGCGTTGGTTCGGAATCAATTGGACAGCAATGGGTTTTTTTTTTTTGGACCCATCCTTACCCTTTAAGGCATTTTAAAGCGTAATGACATATAGATCTATGTATATTAGATAAGGTTGCAGATTACAACTGAAGTTATGTCTCCAGTGAACCAACTTGGCCAAGAACAAAATGGAACTTGGTGGGGGTGGATGACCATCCTCCTCCATGCCCTAAACTTTATCCTCCCTCTCTCCAGCCTTTAAATACTCATCTCTGTGTTAAAATCACAAGGGACCAAGAACTCGTCTGTTTCACCCCCCCCCCCTACTTTAAAACGAAAAAACCAAACCCATTGCTATTGAGTTGATTCTGACTCATAGTGACCCTATAGGACAGCGTAGAACTGCCCTATAGGGTTTCCAAGGAGTGGCCGGTGTATTTGAACTGCTGACCTCTTGGTTAGCAGCCAAACGTTAAACCACTGGGTCATCAGGGCTCCACTCCCCTTAGTTTAGGCAGGTGAATGTATTTTTCTTTTTACAAATTTAAAAACTGAGATCCAGAAAATAAAGAATGTCATTTTTACTTCTAGTATATCACCGATCTTATGGTATTGATCATGTCTTTGAGCCTTTTCTAAACCTGTTTCTCTTAACCTGTCAAATGAGGAGGAAGACAATATTAGGGGCTTTGAAAATGGGAAAGTGAGAGTAGTTAACATTAGAGCAAATGATGCATGGGGCTTATGGACTTTCATCTTGGGGAAGTCTCTCAAACTGACATCAGTTAAGATGTTCACCACCATGTTAAAAAACCACTTACCTTCAAGGTTAACTCTGACTCATGGAGACCCCATGTGTGTCAGAATAGAACTATGCTCCATAGAGTTTTCAATGGCTGATTTTTTGGCAGTAGGTTGCCAGACCTTTCTTCCCAGGCGCCTCTGGGTGCATCTGAACCGCCAACCTTTTGGTTGGCAAATGAGCTCATTAGCGGTTCGCACCACCCAGGAACTCCACTACCATGTTAATAGTGGTTTATTTCTGGGTGGTAGGATTATGGGTGATAAAAATGTTCCTTTGACTTCCTTGTATTTTCTAAAATTTCCTGCATCAAATCTAAATACTAAGAAAAAGGTAACAAAAATTATCTTTTAAATGACACCTGTCTGGGATGGTTTCTATTTGATCGTAGGCGAAGGTGGGGGTTGGATTAGCTCAGCAGTTTCCAAAGTGGAGTACCTGCACACTCTGGGGAATATATGAGACAATTGATGGAGGACGTGGGAGGAAACATTAAGATTTCTAATCATGTTTATCTCAGCCTTTTTAACTTCTATTCTTGTGTCTGTTATACAATATACAAATAATATATTGGCTGTAGGGTTGCTATGAGTCGGAATTGACTCGATGGCAACGGGTTTATTATTTTTTTTGGTATGCATATATAATTTATACAGAGATTTGTGTTAAAGCCCACTGACCAAACACCACCAGGAACACACCTGTAGTCATATAAAGTTAGGAGCCCTAGTGGCGCACTGTTAAGTGCTCAGCTGCTAACTGAAAGGTCAGCAATTCAAACCCACCAACCACTCCAAGGGAGAAAGATGTGACAGTCTGCTTCTGTAAGGATTACAACCTTCTTGAAAACTACCCTTGGGGCAGTTCTACTCTGTTCTATAGGGTTGCTATGAGTCAGAATCAACTCAATGGCAATGGGTTTTATTTAGCTTGCCCTGTCACCCATCTGTCAGTTTGTCGTACTTCGGTGATTTGCATGTTGCTGTGATGCTGGAAGCTATCCCACTGGGATTTCAGATACCAACAGAGTTACCCATGGTGGACAGGTTTAGTGGAGCTTCCAGACCAGAGTAAGAAGAAAGACCTCGTAGTCTACTTTTGAAAATTAACCAATGAAAACCTATGTATCACAACAGAACATTGTGTGAATTGCTTTCTTTGGCCATGTCATCAGGAGGGATTGATCCCAAGAGAACATTGTATTTGGTGAAGTAGAAGGCCAGCAAGGGCGAGAGGGACCCTCGGTGAGATGGATTGGCACAGTGGCTGCAGCAATGGACTTGAACATGGTGGTGATTGTGGGGATGATGCAGGGCCAGGCAGCATTTTTTTGACTGATATACGTAAGTTCACCATGAGTCAGAGTTGACTCAATGGTAACTATCTGTCTACCTATTTAGCTTACTGCAACAAGGGAGAACACACTCATGAAGAACCACGGGGCGTCTTAGCAAGAAGTTGAGAGAGGCTTCTTATAACATTTAGGCTTGTGACTGAGATGCTTCTAAGGAAGCAAGAATCATTTCTGGGTTCAATGCTTTCAAGAAGCAGGGGGGATTCAGGGATTGGCTATATTTATAATTTTTATCTTGATGGTGGGAGGATTAAAATGAGGCTAGAGTTGTCATTAGTAAAGGAGCAGCTGTCATTCATATTAGTTAGAAGAGGGAGATATTACATCATTTTTGTGTTTCTGGAGTGGACTCCTCTCCGTCTTGTTCCAAACATGGTTACTGAGAGGACTTGCCTAAATACTGTTTATATTCTGTGAGCATTGTTTATATTCAGTTGTTAACTTCATGCCCTGGTGGTTCAACAGGGTCATTTTTCACTCTCTCTTATGTTTATATAGAGTGACTTGCTCAAAAATTTTTATTGGTTTGGGCATGTGATTTCAAAGATTTAGAAGTAACCATCTAGATGACGCCTTAGTGCTCCTTTCAAACCTGGGGTCAACCACCCCTATCATCTCTGGAGCTTGCCCCCTGGTCATGCCCTTATCTCTCTCATGACCATGGTGCCCTTATATTCATGGTCTTCTTCTCTTGATGTGAAAACACGCTCAAATCTTTCCTCATTTTCAAGGGCTTTTTCTTAACCTATTTTTCTTGCCCTCACAGTCAAATTTCTTGAAAGACTTGGCTACTCTGTCTTACCACCAATTCATTCCATTTAAAAGAAACTATTTGTTAAAGTTAATGTACTGGAAATAATATACTCATTTTAAAGAACTGGAAATATAGAAGTGTATAACAAACAACAAGAACAATGTTCATCCATCATCTCGAAGCCTAGAGTTAGCTCAATGGTTAGCATGCCATTCAGTAAAGTTTTAGTGTGTATCTACTACTGGCTTAAATCCTGAGAATATAATGATGAAACAGAAAGATGTGGGCACTGAGCATGTGTGTGTGTGTAACTTAAGCTAAAGCTATCCTCTTTATTCTTTTATCCCTTATATTCTTATTTATGTTTTCTGCATTCTCCCAAAACTGTCCTCTCTGAGTAGCATCAAGCTCCTACTAATTGTTAATCCATAGTTTCTTCTCATCTCTCATCCTACTTGAACTTTCTGCAGTTCTTCTGGACACTTTTGTACATTTGCAACTGTCTTCTTTTTCTCATGTTTAACACTGTACTAATACTTTTCTTGTATGACTTCTTTAGCTGCCTCTAAGTCTGGTTCCTCGCCTGTGACTGATTACTCTACTCACTCTGGTATCCCATGCTGTCACTCCACAAGAGTCTGCCTTTGGCCTGCTCATTCTCATTATATCTCCTACAGATACAATGGTAGAAGACAATTATACCTTTTGCCATCAGTGTTAATGATCACTCAGTTCCCCAAACTATAGATGCTCCAGCCTGCATACTCTCCCAGATTCCGGAACCTGATATTCTCTTCCATGGATAGCTTGTACACACCTAATCTCAACATGTCTAGAACTGAGCTCATTTCATTCCCCCACTCCCATTGAAGAGTTTCTGTTTCTGACCGTACACCTTATCTCATTTAACCGCTTTACCATCATTCCATTCACCAGGGATAGAGACCTTAAGTTATCTTTAATTCCCACACATGCCCTGTACCTATCATTTGCCAAGTCCTGGCAACTCCATGCATTTGTAATAACTGTTCATAGATACAGTTTTGTTTGTTTGTTTGCTTCCACTGCCATTGAACTTGTTGTCTCTTATTTTGTTCCAAGAGCTCCATTTTAGGTCATCTTTTTGCCTCTTTCCCCTTGAATCACTTGTCATGTTTATTTTGTAGGGATGTGAATATGTCATTCCTGGTCAGAAACCTTGAATGATGCTCTACAACCTTTATAAAAAAGGTCTAACTCAAAAGTCACCTTCCCTGTGAATTTTCCTCATTATGATAATCCGTTCCCACCTCCATGCTCCTGCAGTTAGTTGTCTATATTTCTTTTTCAAGATGAATGTATTGTCTGGTATTATCATTAGTTGGATATTTATTAGTATTTTCCCCTAGACTGGGATCTCCTCCAGGACAGAATTGTGTCTTTTTGTCCCAGAGTTTTGCCCATGGTAGACACGCAATAGTATTTGCTACACTGCATTGACATTCTGAGACAGTTTCATCAACCCAAATCTGATATGGCTTAGTTCTCTGATGTTACTCACATAAAGATTGAAATCAAGGGATAATGAAATGGGGTTTTAAATTCATTTGCACTTCAATTAGATCTGGCTGTTGTGACAGATCTGTTCTTGTTGTTGGCTTTCCAACATGTTAGTTGGGTCATTTTTTTTATTTTGACAGATTTGATGACTGAAAAATGTCAGGATACAGGAAGTTAAAAGGAGCATGTTAGATCAGCTTTTGCATTAAAGAACAAGTAAACAGCACATCATTCAACTACTCAGTCTTTTCTATGAAACCTAAACACTGACTTGACCTGCCTTCCCTAAATGATTTTCTTGTATATCTGTTGAGTTGAGCACATTTCTGGGCATTGCTGTCTTACCCCTTGTTTTTTAGCAGTTAGTTTCATTAGTGTTGTTTTTTTAAACCACCCGAGAGAGACCCAGGGAACACCAAATGCTGGTTCAATGAAATAACTTGCTCAGAATCCAAGGTCACAGCACCGGAGACCCCAGAAGGCAACAACACTGGCCTGTGGCATACTCACTGTGTCTAAATCCTCTCGTGTATGTGCCGCGGAAACACAAAACCGAGCTCGAGCTTCTGCAAGGGGAGTGGCTGGAAACCCAACAACTACCACCCCAATTTTTCTCTGTAACAGATGCCTTGCAAAAGCCCTAAGGGAAAAGCAAAAAAAGGTTAGTTGAGAGAAGACAGAATTATCCTGCAAAAAAACAAGAAAAACAAAAACACAGAATGAATTTGACTACTTGACTTTTTTTAATATGATAAGTAGAAAATGAAGTTATTCAAATCCTGTCAAATAACCAACCAGGTAATGGCACAGTCAATTCCTGGACACTGCCCATAACTGAATATATAGCTTTGTGGGGCCTGATGCACTCAGTAGACAGTTGTAGGTGCTGAGTGTTGACATTGAACAGAAAATGCTGACATACGTGACTCTGGTTTAGCAAGTCTGCATTGGTGTAAAATCCCTTATCTTCAGGGTTCCTGGGAATAAAAACCAAACAGCGAATACAATGCAATTACATAAAGAAAATGGGCATTCATGGTTCAGAAGTAAAATTCTCACCTTCCGTGTGGGAGACCTGAGTTCATTTCCAGGTCAATGAAATTTAATGAGCAGCCACCACCTACCTGTCTGTCAGTGGAGGCTTGCATATTGCTATGGTGCTAAACAGGTTTCAATGGAGCTTCAGGACTAAGAAGGACTAGGAAGAAAGGCCTGGTAATCTACTTTCAAAAATCAGCCAATGAAAACCCTATGGATCACAATGGTCCCATCCGCAACTGGTCATGGCGCAGGACCGGACAGCATTTTGTTCCAGTTGTGCGTGGGGTCACCACGAGTCTGGGGCTGACGGAATGGCAGCTAACAACACCACCAACAGTACATTAAAGGCAAACCTACATGTTTTAAACACTTAATTAATACCAGTCATATACTGTGGAAATTTCAAGAAGCTTATACTTAGTAACTATAATTTGAGGACCAGGATCAGAGAGTCTGCAGGATCCAACCTCAAGTGGTATTTCCACTCCAGGGCCGTGGATTTTATTTTCCATCAAACCAGAGATAGCAAGGGTCTCCTCCATTTTTTATATGTGAATGAACACACCCAAGTTTACTCAGGGATAATAAACCACTGAGCAGATTAAAGAGTAAAGGGGTAGAAGGGAGACAGGGAAAGAAATGTGTGGGTAGGTGCAGCTCATAAGATAGAACACATAACTACAAAGCTTTTAGCTTCAGGGTAAAGCCTTTTTAAACTATGGCTCCTTCCCCTCAGCTGCTAATCTCAGTAATGATTCTAGAATGTCAGGCTCTTAAATCTGTAAAAATCTTGTGCTGAGAGCCAATGTCAGACAAAAAGGCATGTACCCTGAAAGTCAATCTTTTCCCCTTTGGGCTCTGAAGCTCTCTGCAGGAAACCTTAATTACTGAGTGCCTCTACCCACAAGTGAGGTAAATGCCGCAGATCTGTTCTTAGCATTAAGAGGTTGCTGGTGTATTATTTTAGGCTGGAAGCCTGACAGCACCACAGAAACTTCCAGCTATAATTCAGGCAGAATGCTTGAACCAGACATTGAGAGTCAGTCTGCTCATCCATTTACCCCACTCTCTCACTGGTTAGCAGTTCTGCCTTTGCGTTTCTTTATGCAGAATGTAGTGTATCAAAAGAAGCAACGGAGACTGCAGAACCTGCAGAGCACACAGCCTTCTGGCCCCCTGGCTGGGGCAAGGCAAGATTCGCCCTATGATTGGGGCTGGGAAGATTACGAGGAGATGAAGCTTTCTAGCTGAGAAAACTTGAAAACAAAGACTGTTGTTTCTCTTTCTTGATCACCGTATGGAAGGCTGCCCACGGAACTACACAGAATGAGAGCTCATAATTGTCTGAGAAACAAGTGAAGCGCTTTTATTGCTAGAGTACAAACCACCTGACCCATGATCTCAGGCAACGTTTCAGGACTCCCAAAAGATCATTCTCGCGGTCCGCATGTTGCCTTTTGTACCAAAGGAAGCACATTTGCCAAAGAATGTGCAGCAAGAAGTATGTCTCTGTTATTTCTTGAGGCTCATCTGGGGCTTCCCTGGAGCACTTTTGAGTTTAAACCTTACACGAGTAAACCTAGCTGCATTAAGTTAATGTGTATGATTGCCCCAAACATTTTATATAGTGAACCTCTGGGTTTGTACTTCCCAACGCAAATTAGAGCTGGCATAGCTGAAAGAAACTAAACTATGTGGAATAATAATAATAATAAAAACATCAGCACTGTATTGCATGTAGCACCAGAGCACCTTGTTTGTATCACCATCTTCCAAATGTATGCGGCGCCTCTGGAGGAAGATGCAAAACACAGAGCAAGAAGTAAATACAACACGATCTTGATTATTTAAGTGCGTGTTTTATGGGTGAAACCGCAGTCTGCTAAACTCCATAGAAGATTCCAGTGGTAGAGATGTAACTGGACTTTGTTCAAAAGGATAACTGGCTGGACATTACATTTTCATTCTGTAGTAGCTGGAAACGTGAGGAAATCCCACTTCTTTAATAACCACAGGTTTTTAAATTAGCAAATGAAAGAAGTGCTTATACAATTAATTCCTGGTTTCGAAAGCTTCTCTACATACAAGCTTTCAATTTAAGAAACATAGAGTTTTTTTTTTTCCATGGTAGTAGTTGGTACCTTTTGAATCATCAAAAATGACATTAAAGAGAGTTAAACTTACACTCTGTATTGTTTTAATGAGATGTGCATTTTTTAATGTGGACTAATGCTTGAGAGGATGTGCTGTGTGTTGAAAAGAGCTGTAGCTTGGGAAGCAAATGGAACTGGGTTTGAAATCTGGATTGTGCTGCTTCAAATGTGTGTGACTCTTAGGAATTTTAACTTTCTGAGTCTCAGTCTTCTCATTTTTAAAATGAGGATAAGGATCCCACCCTCAGTGGGTGTTCACAGGGTCTTCCAGCCATAGTGAGCATATAATCAACATTATTGGCTACCATTAAGGATGCCTTGGCCCATGGCAACCCCATACACAATGGAACAAAATGAAACCCACTCCTGCGCCATCCCCATGAGCAGTTGCTGCTGGGACCGTTATGATCCATAGGGTTTTCACTGGTTGATTTGTCCGAAGTAGATCACCAGGCCTTTCTTCCCAGTCTGTCTTTGTCTGGAAGCTTTGCTGAAACCTGTTCAGCATTATAGCAACATGCAAGTCCCCACTGACAGGTGGATGGTGGCTGTACATGAGGTATATTGGCCGGCTCTTCCTCATCAAAGGCAAGAATTCTACTATGGAACCACCACTCCCCCCTCAGCAATGTTAGTTACTTCGTAAAAACAATCTTATGTGGAAGGAACAAAATAGTTTGACTTATCCAATGCTGAAAATAGCCTAATTGATGTGGAGTATAGCAGCATTTTTATCCACTATTTTTCCAGAATTTTTATTTTTATTAATATAACCAAAGATGGTAATAGTTATTTTGGAGAGCCCTGCAACCATGTTAGCTTAGCTTAAACTTACACTCAGTTGGCAGTAATAATAATATTTGTATTAGTAGTAGTAGTAGCAATACTATAACTACTACTATGAATAACTACCAATGACTGAATGCTTAAAGTAGGCCAAGCACTGTACTAAGTGCTTTATGCATGTTATTAATATTAATAGCTAATGTTGAGTAGCTCCTAAATAACAAGCAACATGTCAAATGCTGCATACACTTCATCTTGTTTAATCTTCACAATGACCTTATGAAGCAGATACTATTACATGTCATTTTATAAATGATAAAACAGGGGCTTTAGAAGGTTGGGTAGGTTGTCCAAAGTCTTCCAGCTAGGAAGAGGCAGAGTCAAACTTCTGTTTGATTCCAAACATCTCACTATCCCATAGAGCATAACTTTTATACGGAGCTTGCCTCTCAGTTCTATTTTTATTTTTCATGTGAACTGTTATCCAGCCAGGTCTCCTGACATATAAAGGAGCAGGAGAACGCCCTCTCTCATCCTGTTCTTGTACAGTTGAATTTTTTAACCTAAATGCATTCAATTTTACTATTCATGGAAACTTCTCATTAGGTTTTGTTCATTTTCCCAGCTTGTTGAGATTTTACTTCTGGCTTTTGCCATGAAAGTCAGAACTATTTGGCACACTCCCTACTGCCACCTCTCTAACTTTGCACACTTTACACTTTGAATAAGATTATTTTTGGTGCCTTCATTTGAGCTAAATGATAAAATATCAGCTAGACATGAGCTAAGTGTTGAGTCTTTCTTGTAGAACATACCATTTCCCCAACCACTCTGAATAAATGTGGGTTTTCTTTTGCACCTTCCAGAATCATATGGGAGAGGATTTTGGATTATCCGCTACCTGGAATCATTGTGTCCATCTCCCTGCCATTAGCACAGAGCAGAGTTGTGTACATTTCTGTAGCACACTGTCTTCTTGGCCACTGTATGAATTGTTTTCTCTGTCCTAGATCAGTGAAGAAAGGGTGGACTGATAGGAATGGTGTGGCAGACTAAAATCCTCATGTGTGTGTTTTTAACTGATTATGTTGCTCTGATAAGACAACATCAGAGTATATTCTGAAGAATTAGTGATTTTAGAACTCATAGCTCAGTTCTACCCACCATGACTTGTCAACTTATAGGCTGGTTCTTTTCTACACTTCAAACACTCTGTCCATCCATCCAACTGTTAGAGAGTCAAACAGAAAGTTCCAGAGATGGGGTTGTGTTGGAGGAGAGTCAGGACCTCTAGAATCTGATAAATATTATGATGAATATTGCTTTCCACCATGTGCTTGGTCAGAGACACAAATAAACATTTTATGTTTAGAAAGGATTTTAATGAACCCCGTTTTAAGAACAGAGGTAATTAGTCTCTGAAGGAGCCCTGGTGGCACAATGGTTATGTGCTCGGCTGCTAACTGAAAGGTCAGCAGTTCGAACCCACCAGCCACTCCATGGGAGAAAGATGTGACAGTCTGCTTCTGTAAAGCTTTGCAGCTTTGGAAACCCTATAGTGCAGTTCTGCTCTGTCCTATAGGGTCGTTATGAGTTGGAATCGACTCAAGGCAATGGGTTTGGTTGGTTTTTAATTAGTCTTTAGCAAGTTTGAGTATGGCCCATTATAAAATAATCCATGCCTTACTGAGAAAAAGTCATTGTTTCTCTTTGTGCAATTGTTGCTAATGATTAATTTCAGAGTTGTAATAAGTGGAAAACAACCCAAAATGGGCTTGTAGTAGAGGCATTAAAGTTGGGTGTTAATAGCATGAGCTTTAGAGCAAAATTAGGTTTGAGTTTGTGTCTTGGTTTTAGTTCTTCTTGACATGCATGACTTTGGGCAAGTTATTTAGCTGCTCTCAGCCTCAATTTCCTCATACTTAAAATGAAGCTGGTAATGACTCCTTCCTTCCAGGATAGTCATGAGAAGTCATTGGGAGAAAGCACAGAGCTTTTTACATGTTGGGAAAGATGGTCTTCAGAAGTTTTCCCTGAGAAAGATCTTGGGTCAGGATGAGGCTTAGGATAAATGTTCTGTCACCCTTAATTTGCAGTGGAGGCCTAGAGTGGTAAATGAATTTCCCAAATTCACAGAGCCTGGAAATGGTATCAGGGAGAAGAGTGGGCCTGGTACCTGGTTCCCTTCCTATGACAGCCATTGAAAGGCCCTGCTGATGGTCTGACAGATGGCTTCTGAGAAGTTGATAAGACCCCATTCAAAGCACATAATCCAGTGTTTCTCTGGCATCAAGAGCACTATCTCAGCTAGATCTCCTGGGTTTTAGGCATTATTCTGAGACCTTTGGATACTTACGCTACTTTACCAGGCATATAAAGGAGCAGGGGAACAACAGGAGATTCCTCATTGCCATAAACAATGAATCCCATTTCCCTTAGCCTTTGTCTGAAGTATCTTGTGTTTTTTGCAAGTTGTTGTACTCTCTGCAATCCTAAAAGGAAACAGGCATGAAATCCATCAGTTCCTACTAGGAAGAAGGAAGTGGAGGTCAGATCGACTAAGCAAGCATTTCTAAGTCTTTCTGTAGGCCTGCATCGTTGGTTAGAAGGGGCTCAAAGGCAGGGCAGGGAACTATCTCCTGGTGAGCAGGTGTGGGCTGTGATGCCCAGGTACTGTTATGAGCCGGGAAAGTAGGATCCAGGGGGATGGTGCTGCTAGGTATTGCTAGCAACTAAAGCCAGGTTGGGGTGGGGGTGGTCTAGCAGGAAGGAAGGAGAGGAACTATCATTTACTTCTACCGTGTACAGACCCTGTACTAAGTGCTTTATAAACACTGACTTGGGAGAAGGTAGTGTAACAAGAAGTCATACACGCACACTTGCACACTCATACACACACACACACACACACACACACAGTTGTTAGAGGCTTTTTAGCCAAGCTGGGATGGCCCATTAAATTGCTCCACATCTAAGTCTCTAATCAAAGGATTTTTCATCCAACCTGAGTTTGAAAGGGTAGCACATATCTGAACAAGGATAGGTCCAACTGAGACCGGGGCTATTGTGTGGGCCCATTGGTGGTGGTAGAGTAATAAAGAGAAGGGAAGAGAGGGACTTCTGCTTTCCCCAGCCAGAAAAGATGACAAAAGAACAAGCAAAGTATAATGTGTCCACAGCAAAGTTACTGGTACTTCAGCTCTATCCTAAGTGTGTGACTCAGTGAGAGGGTCACACATGTGGTATGACAAAATGAATTAAAGAGCAGAAAGTGTTCTGAAGACACCCGTCTACTCCAGTCTTCTACATATTGGCAATTAAGTGAGTAACCAGCCAAAACAAGAGAGTGTTTGCTCACTGAGGAAGAACAAATATTACTGGACATCTATGAGCACTCTTTAGTTAAGGAAGTTCAGCAAGTAGCGATGATTGCATTTGATGCCGAATTGCTATTTAGCAGGAATGTGCTGGTACAGTTTTAGTGTTTGTCTTCAGCCGACCTCCATTTTGATTGGTTAGATTTCCATTCTAACTCATCAGAACTCCTGCCTTATGGCTGTTCAGTATTTTGAACATCTTCTATGGCTGTCTGTAATCTTCTAGATGGAAAATGGGCAAAAACATCAGTAAACATGTCAACATGGCCACCCAGCCCCTTCTTGGAGAGATGGCCCCAGGCTGTGCCTTGAGAAAGGGTTGAGCAGTGGACAACTCCTGCTCAGTATCCTTCCTCCAGGGAACTATGGCATTCAGGTGGGTTGACCCTGCCTTTCCTCTTTGCTATAGGGTAGCATCCCCCGCAATTATTAGTTCAATGATGGAACCTAATCTAGGCCTATTAGAGTCTTTCTTTCAGATATACTGGGGCAAAAGTGGAAGCCTGAGGTAATCCTCAAGCTACATCTTTGCCACCATATAGAGGAAGCCTGCATGAGAATGATGTTGACTCAGAAGAAAGCTAAGGCACAAGATAATGAGAGTCCTGATAGCATCATTTGAACCCTTTGGTCCAGTCTATATTTTGGACTTCCCTGTTGTGTGAACCAATACATTTTTCTTTTCTTATTTAAGCTACTTTGAGCTGAGTTTCTGCCTCCTACAATCAAATGTGTCTTGAGTAATATAGGTAGCCACTAAATGGATCAGGTGGCCTCTAAAGGACAATAATAATATCAACACTCACATAGTAAATACAGCTCACATATATGAAATGTCAACACTGTTATAAAAACTTAACATTTAATAATTTATTTTGTTCTCACAATGATTGTATTGAGGTAGGTATTCTAATCCCATGTTATAGATAAAGATAAGCCAAATAACTTACCCAAGTTCACATAGTTCGTAAGTAGCAGAGCCAGAATTTGAAACTGGGCACTGAGGTTCTAGAATCTGTGCTGTTAACCCTACACTATGGTGCTCTGCCCAACAACAGCAATCGATGATGTCTGCTCAGGTAATGGCTGGTGGCTAGATCCTGATGAGAAACCAAAGCTAAGGGAAGACTGGCTGTACCAAATCAGTGATTTCCAGGGTTCTGGGTATTTAGAGAATCTCACTGCTCTGTCCCAACCAAACTTTGACTGAGGTATCAGAATTCTTTCTTCTTTTTTCACCCCTCAACCTCAATAAAACTCTTACTCTGATAAACGTTTAACATCCAGAATATATAAAGAACTCTTACAATTTAACATCAAAAAGAAATACAATCCAATCAAAAAATGGGCAAAGGACTTGAACAGATATTTTACCAAAGAGGTTATACAACGGCCAAGAAGAACATGAAACGACACTCAGTGTCATTAGTCATTAGGGAAATGCAAATCAAAACCACAATGAGCAATCACTTCACACCCACTAAGATGACTATGATTAAAACAACAAGAAAACAGCAGGTGTTGGCTAGGATGTAGAAAAATTGGAAACCTCATCCATTCTAGTGGGATTGTAAAATGGTACAGCAGCTATGGAAAACACTTTGGCAGTGCCTTGAAAAGTTAAACATGTAATTACCATATGATCCAGCAATTCTACTCCAAAGTATATACCCAAAAAATTGAAAGCAGGAATGCAAACAGATACTTGTACACCAATGTTCGTTGCAGCACTAGTCGCAATAGCCAAAAGATGGAAACATCCTAAATGTCCATCAACAGATGAGTGGATGAAATGTGGTACATACAATGGAATATAACTCAGCCACAAAGAGAAGGAAGTCCTCATATATGTTACAACATGGATAAACCTTGAAAACATGCCGAATAAAATAAGTCAGTCACAAAAGGACAAATATTGTATGTTCCCACTTATATAAATTATCTAGAATAGACAAGTATATAGAGACCAAAGTTTATCAGTTACAAGGGGCTGGTGGGAGGGAGGGGGAAAGGAAGCCACAGTGCTTAGGAGGCACTGAGTTTCTATCAAGGCTGATTGTATAATCTGTGACTGGATAAGGATGATGGTTGAACAACATGATGAACGTAATTAATGTCACTGAACTGTACATGTGAAGATTATTGAAATATCAAATGTTTTGTTACATATATTGTTACCACAATAAAAAAAAGTAAGAAAAAAAATGCTGTTTCTACATTTAAGGCTCAAATCCATTGAAAACACTCAAACTTGCAACTTCTTAGAATAAAATTTCCTTTGCCGCACTAATTTTTTCAACTACATAATTTATTTCCAAACTTATGATTGTATATACTAATTTAACCATGAACCTCTTTCTTTTTTGTATTCAAAGTCTTAGATTATGTATATGAAACAAACAAACAAAAAAACCTCTGCCAGCTGTTAGGATCATAATTATACCAAATTTTTCTAGTAGAAGAAGTTGTAAGATTGAAAGCTAAGCAAGGCTTTTGTCAGCCTCATAAGTGTGAGGGGGTGAATAGGGCATCAAGGACTAGAGTCCAGCACCCACCAAAGGGGAGCCTGGTGAACTCTTTTCACTTTGGGTGGGGTACCTGAAGGGCTGACCCCAAGAAGTAACGTGAACTAGAAGTAAACAGGCCCCTACAGGACACTTTCTTTATCCAATCATCTGACAGTTTTCACTAGGCTCTATCACTACCAAAAGACCTCAGGTCTTCCTTCTAGAGTTTTCCTTTGCTCATCAGGATCAAATGGACTTAACCTCTGTGGAATCTTGATTGTATTAACAACATATACAGAGGAATGGAGATTTAGTTGAGTGCAACATCAACCAAGGAGCAGGATTTTGGATACCCCGGTTGTCCAAGCTTGTCTTCTGTCTCTACACTTCACCCAACTGCACTTCCAAAGAAAGATCCCTCCCCAACCCTACCAGCTTTAAGTGCGCAGGCTGTGATAGAGAAAGCATCTGGCTTATTGTATTTTCTCCGGAAAGCTGACTTCTCAACCCCACCATCCTGGCCATAGCCAATTGATGAGGAATGCCGCTGACCCAAGGGCAGTCCATTTGGGTGTCGGCCAACAGTCATGGAGACGGCAATCATAGGAACTTTGCCAAAGAAATGATAAATATGAATTAAACCAATCAGATCCTCTTGCTGGTAGAGTGTGGATTTGAAAAATTTAGAGAGAACCAGCAATTGGTGTTAGGAGTAGAGATTGAGAGCTATATAGGGAAAAGCAGAATCTATGAATCTACAGACAGAGGAAGCCATTGGTAAGTAGAAACTATGGTAAATCATGAAGAAGAGAGGTAAGTCTAGTCAGTAGTAACAGGAAAGTAAGAAATAGAAAAAAGAGCTATAATCTAGTCGGGGAGGCAGACATTAAGCAAATAATCACATAAAGGAATATAAAATTGCAATGCTAACAAGCTCTGTAAAGGAGTGTTATGTGGTTTATGAGAGCCTGTATTAGAGAAATTGGACTCAGACTGAGGAAGTCAGGATATGATGAACGAGCTGAGATCTTCACATTGAGCAAGCGTTAACCAGGAAAAGAGCCAGAGGAGAGCATTCCAGGCACAGAAAAAGGTGCAATGGTCTTGTTGCTTGTAGGAGGACAGACTGGTTGAGAACTAGGCAAGGTGTGGTTGAGCGTGGGGCAAAAGGAGGGACTGGAAACATCTTTCCAGTCAGATTATGTAGGACTGTACTGGCCATTTTGAAATGCTGTTTTTAGGGGTAGGGTAGAGGGTAGCATGTAGGGCAGGGGTGACATGATCGGCTTGTATTTGGAAAAAAAATTACTCTGATATCAGCATAGAAGACAGACTGGGAAGGTGCAGAGTGGAAACAGGGAATCCAGGTAGGAAGCTGTTGCAAAAATCGGGTGAGAAGATGGCCACTTCACTAGGGTGAAGGCAGTAAACATAGAGGGAAGAGCCTGGATGTGAGACACATTTAGGAGTAAAGTCAGCAAGATCTAATGATTGATCCTGGGGAGAGCAAGAGGGAATGGTCAAGAATACTCCTATGCTTATGGCTTGAACAACTTGATGAATGCTAATGCTGTTCATAGAATCAGGCCAAATTAAGATGATCATATT